AGAAAATCCCTCTTACCCACTGGCAAAACTGGGTCAATGTTCGTTTTACTGACTGTAAAATATAAATTTGAAAGTCAAAAGACTGCTGTGCAAAAATGCAAAATATAATCGAGATATACGACATTTAATTCATCATCAAAATATCTTAAAATAAAAAAAATGGTTCGTTATCTCCCAGGACTGAACATATATGATAAATTTTGATATACGTACTATCTACATGGCTATCTCTTCTACCTGTCAAAACAGTAAAAAAACATTTCATGAAGTTATTTCAAAACTCAGGGATATATTGATGATATATTAAAAGATTGAATTATCATGAAAAGAAGCCTTTTGAGTATTTAAAGGAATTTGATTTTGTATTGAAATCGGAATTATCATGGGGTTCTAAAATCTTTTAATGTGAGCAATGCCCATTATAATCATTCTTTGCTTGTTTTAAAATGAATATCACCATTGGAGAAAATATCATGAGAGAAAGAGCTGATCGGTACTTCGGATTAAAAAACTATTTAAATTTTAGATATTTAATCAATCACAATTATATGCATGCATGAAGTATCTAGAATAAGACAATTTGTTGAACAATTATATTTTGTTTTTTGAATGTATATTTTTTATATTAGGAATGCATCTAGGTGTTTTTTTTGTCAGAAACTAATTAGTCAAAAGTATTTATTCTGTCCCCAGTCCTACAGAAAACTGCATTTGTTCTCTTTATTATTTTATACACATATCTTTATTGAAAATCGGTATTTAATTAATTTTTTCACATTTTTTAAATTGAAAAAGTTGAAAACGCATCATTTTCCTCATTATGTGCTAATAATTATTCAGGTAAAATTAAGGGAGAAATAAGTTTTTGTCAATGATAACATCATAATGAATCTACCATCATTTGAATTTCTACACTAAGATCCTAAGCTCATAATCCTCTCGTATTTTATAAGTTTTTAATACCTCGTATACAAACATTCTCCAAAATAAAAAAAAAAGTTTTCCATTATTTTCATTCAAACAAGAGGCCCATGGGTCACATCGCTCACCTGTAGGACTACAGGTAGTATTAAAAGGCTTTTTATTGTAAAGTTTAAATCCAAAAGTAGTCCCATGACCAATCATGGATTTGCTATTTTTTAAAAAATGATTGAGAAGAAGATTTTTAAAGAATTTTCCTATATATTTGTATGTAAAACTTTGGTCGGCCATTTTGGCCCTACCCTCGGGGGTCACGATTTGAACAAACTTGAATCTACACTACCGGGGCATGTTTCCATATTAATATGATGAATTATGGCTTTGTCATTCTTGAGAAGAAGATTTTTAAAGAAATTTCCTATATATTTCTATGTAAAACTTTGGTCGGCCATTTTGGCCCCGCCCTACCCTCGGGGGTCACGATTTGAACAAACTTGAATCTACACTACCGGAGCATGTTTCCATATAAATATGATGAATTTTGGCTTTGTCATTCTTGAGAAGAAGATATTTAAAGAATTTTCCTATATATTTCTATGTAAAACTTTGGTCGGCAATTTTGGCCCCGCTCTACCACTTGGGGTCATGATTTGAACAAAACTGAATCTACACTACGTGAACATGCTTCCATATAAATATGATGAATAATGGCTTTGTCATTCTTGAGAAAAAGATTTTTAAAGAATTTTCCTATATATTTCTATGTAAAACTTTGGTCGGCCATTTTGGCCCCGCCCTACTCCCGGGGGTCATGATTTGAACAAACTTGAATCTACACTACCTGAGCATGCTTCCATATAGATATGATGAATTATGGCTTTGTCATTCTTGTGATGTAGATTTTTATAGAATTTTCCTATATATTTCTATGTAAAACTTTGGTCGGACATTTTGGCCCCGCCCTACCCCCGGGGGTCACGATTTGAACAAACTTGAATCTACACTACCTGAGCATGCTCCCATATAAATATGATGAATTATGGCTTTGTCATTCTTGAGAAGAAGATTTTTAAAGAAATTTCCTATATATTTCTATGTAAAACTTTGGTCGGCCATTTTGGCCCCGCCCTACCCCCGGGGGTCATGATTTGAACAAACTTGAATCTACACTACCTGAGGATGTTTCCCCATAAGTTTCATCTTTCCTGGCACGGTGGTTCTTGAGAAGAAGATTTTTAAAATATACCACTAAATTTTCATTAATTTCGAATTATATCCCCTTGAATAAGGGCGTGGCCCTTCATTTGAACAAACTTGGATCCCCTTCACCCAAGGATACTTTGTGGCAAGTTTGGTTGAAATTGGCCCAGTGGTTCTTGAGAAGAAGTCGAAAATGTGAAAAGTTTACAGACAGACAGACGGACAGACGGACAGACATACAGTTGAGAGGTACATTGTGCATTTTACGGAAGGTGCAGGGTTATCATTTTGCTTTGTGGGGTTATTAATAGTACAGTGGTGACTTGAGAGGTTTCATTAGGAATTCAAACAAATGGTATATTGTGGGGTTAAAGGTCTATATTTGTGGGGTTAAAGATCTATATTTGTGGGGTTAAAGATCTATATTTGTGGGGTTAAAAATTAATTATTTAATATCAAGTCAACTTTACAGGCAACTGATTATAAGTACTTAAAATTGTTACTGTTTATCTGAAGAACTTAGAACGGATATAGCAATAACATTTTTCAACTACTGCATAGCAGTAACAATGCAAAAAAAATGTTTTTATTTGAGGATAACTGTTGCATCAAAGTAAATTAACCCATCATGTTTTCACATGAAGATGATAGACAAGAATATCCCAGAAAGTGTTAAACAAACAACCCCACTATTCTATATAGATATCAGACAACACTAACCCCACAAATTATAAGACAAACAACCCCACTATGTACTCTCATAAAGATAATAGACAACACTAACCCCATTAAGCGCTTGGATAGCAACCCCACTATGTACTCTCATAAAGATAATAGACAACACTAACCCCATAAAGTGTTTGGACAGCAACCACACTATGTACTCTCATAAACAAAATAGACAACACTAACCCCATAAAGTGTTTGGACAGCAACCCCACTATGTACTCTCATAAAGATAATAGGCAACACTAATCCCATAAAGCGTTAGGACAACTACCCCACTATGTACTCTCATAAAGATAATAGACAACACTAACCCCATAAAGTGTAACAACCCCATTATGTTCTTATATAGATAAATGATAACATTAACCCAACAAAGTGTTAGACAAGAACCACAATATGTTCTAATAGAAAATATAAGACATCTTAGTAACCTCAGAGTGTTAAACAAACAACCCCGCTGTGTTCTCATATAACAGATACCAGTAACCATATGAATTTAAGTGTTTGAAAACCCCAGTATGTTCTAATATCAAAAAACTCTACCAGGGACTGGTAATAAAAGAACAAGTACCCCCACTATGTTCAATCGCAACTTCTCGAGCCTTTCTGACTAGCTGACAAACGACCTCGAATGTATTAGGTAGACGCCATGGCAACAACCCCCCTTTTCATGATCTTCGAAATAAATGCACGAAGACCTTTTATATGTGGAATATGGAGTTTAACTTTATTCAATGCTATGATATTACATAAAATATACAATAAAAAGGACTTCTTACTTCCTCTATCCTATATTTGAAAAAAACAAGAAAAGCATAACCTTTAACATCAGGTGATGTTAATACATTCGAGGTTGTTTTTCCGAACTCTGACGGAAAGACCCTGAGTGAGATGATGCAATTGCCAGTACGTCATATCCTTTTTTTTTACTATTAAAAATACCAAACAATACTCATAATACTTTTTCCTATTTTGATAACATACTCGAAAATTTGTTTTAAATATTTTTCAAACTATTTTTAATTGGATAATCTCTTTATCTTTACTGCTTATTTCTAATGAGAATTTTTCCTTTGAATCTGCTGGTGCATGAATTTGAAGTGTACATTATGCATCAAAAGCATACATGATTTCATTGTAAATTAAAGATAATAAATAAAAGCGATAATCCTGATTTTTAAAAAAAAAAATTAATTAAACTTTTCAGTTACTCGACAAGTTGAACACAGATAAGAAACATGTCAATAAATGTAGAACACAGAAAAAAACCCTAAAAATTTGAGACAATCTTCATAGATGTAAAAAAAAAAAACCAAAGTATATAGTGAGTTGTCAAATAACTCTAAAACTTGAATGTTATTGCTACTTATTTTAAACAAAATATATAAATTCAAATGAAGTCTAAAAAAAAAAGTGTAGTCTAGTATCTCATCATTTTGCATTTTAAAATTGATCTTAAAACAAAAATAACGATGTACATCCTTTTGGAAAATATACTCAAACTTACACCTGCACCCCCACTCCCATCCCTTAAAATAAAAAAAAAAAAAAACCAACAAGCAATTGATTTTTAATTTTCAAAAAAATAAAAATCAAACAACATAAATGTACATTTCGGTTTAATAATTAATTCTCACATTTAAAATGAGATCGCTAATTAAAAAAGACGAAAACTATGACAGTTAATAAATAGAAATTCGCCATACCGAATGCAATGTTCATAAAAGATCCTTTTGTCTTAAACATGTTAAAGCTGAACACTACTCAGAAACATAAGTAATCAGAGATTACATAGCTCAATTCAAAAAATGATTACTTCAAGTAAGACACGGTCTCACATTTAACTAATAATCAAGAAGTTAATTTAAGGTTTGCAGTAACTTGAGAATAGACATCCAAATACTTGAAACTCGTTGCCCATCAAGAAAATGTAATTCAAATCCACGACCCATGTAAATGTTATCTTTTTTAGATCAACTTTCAAAAATCGATTCATCTTCTTTTTCTGAAAAGTAAGTCAGGCCTGGGGGCCATAAAACTTAAATGAGCTCACTTTTGATCTAAGTCTCACTTTTCCACTATATATTCCTTTTGTAAAAGTGAGACTGAGATCAAAAGTGAGCTCGTCTAAGTTCTATGGCCCCCAGGCCAGGTCCTGAATGTCGCCGTCTGGAGAAGGCAATGGCAAGAATGAATCGGGATTGTGCTTGTTCTTCTGAAAAGTCTTTAACTCATACTTCATGTATACCTGTCAAAAAAAATACAGTAAAATATATTTTTTAATGATAATGTAGAATTTTTTTAAAGGTTATGTTTTAATTTATTGTAAAATAATATTGTTGTCTTGATTTTATGGCACTTATAACATGTACTAACCATTGATCTGGATGTCTTTAATAGTTGCTTTCCTTAAATTTGTGAACTATATTCAGATCACAAATTGTGTGTTCAAGTCATAGGTTTGTTCTTTCAACTTTATGAATGTCCGACGCCTGCTGGTGTTGCTGCAACAATAGAGTGGCCTAGATCATCAAAGTTCCACTGATGTTCACTTTCAGTGGTATCTGAACTCTACAAAGGAATACAGAAGCAAATGTTTATTTATAACACATACAAAAATTCCGAGTTACTAATTAAAATTCATCGAAATTTATTTATAGCATAGTTGTCATGTACTTTGAACTACTTTCTTATATTGGTAAAAGGTGAAAAAGTACAGTCAAACTTGTTTTAAGCTTTGGGAAGTCCGGAAACTAGTTACTTAAGACAGGTGGCCTCTTATTCCAGTTTGCCCAAGAAGTAGCCAGTCGGTCAATAAATAAACAGCAATAACCACTAGAGTTCATTTAATTAAACATGTCAATTTCACAAAACCTTTGTATGTGTGTATATATATATTAATCCATGCTTATTTAAAAAAATATCAAATTAAAGAATTCCAAAGCTTTAAGGTTTTGTGCATGTTTCTGTTCCTACAAAACATTTAAACTTCATACATTCATGAGTGTTCTTTTGTTACATTCAAATATATGATAATTGAATTACAGTATCATTCAAGAAGAAATACATGTGCCTTACTACTATCTATTTTTTTAATAAGAAAAAATACACAAGCTTTAATTAAAAGACAGTTTAATGGTGAATTAAATAAAGTAAAAAAAAATATTTCAGTAAGTGTCAATAAAATCCATCTAATAACTTCACTATCATATGTTCAGGTAATGATCAGCAGTGTAACCCCCCCCCCTTCAATTAATCCTCGATCAACTAGTTTGCTGAAGTTTTTAAAGTCTGGTAAATTTTTGATATTATTTTTAGCTGTCAGAATTTCTATCTAACATTCAGACACACACAAAAAATTATTCAATTGACCGAAGATTTGTATTTACGCAGTTTAAAATCATTCTACTACAACACAGGTGTAAAGTGCAGTAGAGCGTAACTAATCCCTATCGATCGTCTCCTGATAGTGAAATTCACGAAATAATCATGCTATACAAAACATTTGTTTTGACAAGAGTTGCAATTAGAGCTTCTACACGGAATCAAAATCTAACAGGTGTGAAAATACTGATAGCCCTGTATTAGCTAAGTCACATACTCTCACTGTAAATATTCAAAGTAATGATGAATTAATATAGTAAATTACAAAATGTAGCTTTAAGCTTGAATTTCTTTAAGTTTAGGTATGGAAAAACTATTAATTGTGATTCAATTCTTTTAAATTTTCAATCGTCGATCTTGAAAAATAAGTACAAATTGATCTTACGGGACAATTATATTTTTTTCATTAAAACAAACAGAGTTATATATACGTATCTAAAGGTAATTTGTTTAATTTCTTTAATAGGTGAATTTAATTATCGGGCACATAATTATACAAGCGAATGTGTAAAAAATGTGACATATTGGGTAATTTAACAACTGGTTAAAATGGCCTGCACTCATTTATAAACATTGATTGTCATTTATCAAATTGATATACATGTACCACTAAATTTTACAACCCCATGTTGATTCCTACGAAGCCTACTTGCTGTGAAAATTTATTGCAGTGACATTGTTAATTCCATTTTTCCATTCTGATTTTCTCTCTGTAGATTAAGGTACAATTACAAGTACATGTAAACAAATGTGTGAAGAGTAGATAAACAATTGGTACGTATCTAGAATGAATTCAAAGAGAGAGAGAGAGAGAGAGAGAGAGAGAGAGAGAGCAATTATGCAATTATACTACGAAACAGGATAAAATTAAAGCCAAAAATATTCAATTTGAAAAAAATTAAACACGGAAGATTTAAAAATTAATTGGGAGGGGTGGAAGAGGGGTGAAAAATCCAGAGATTTTGTCTACCGTAGGAAGAATCACATGTATTTATGTTATGAGATATCTGCACATATTTACCATATGTATAGAGAAAATTCAAATTAAGAAAAAAACACTATCGTTTTTGGAAGTAAATAAGCGAAGTAGTACTCCAACACGCATTAAATTATGGAGATTTTTTGACAGTTGGAGCATGTTATATAGAAAATTTAAATGGTTTGGATTTTTTTAGCAAAAAACGAGTGAAAATACGTACCAGGTGTGCTTTGCATGTATTGCATGTGTATAAATAATATAATCTTTTTTACTGGCCAATGGGGCGACCTACTTGCAGAAAACCACTAGCCCGACCCCCGGGTATCGGTCGATTTTCATTGCAGACCTCTGATTAAAAAAAGAACTATCAGTGCATTCATTATTATTTTTTTTTTTTTTACAAAAGCCCGTTTTCAATAGGTATGTGTTTATGTGGATTACAGATTTCCTTTCCTTGACTTTAAATAAATTCTACAACTGCATAATGTACGTATGAAGCATGTCAAACAACTTACAAAGATTTTTCTCAATGTGGTGCAACAAAATAGTAAGACTTCAGGTATTCGGAACTCCTCGATTCAATTACCGAACTCCTCTAAACAGCAGATTTCTGAATGTCTGAGCGTTTTGGGCTAAGGACATGTCCAAAATTTGGACAAAGTCTTTGTGAGGTTAAATCTAATTTTAGGTTTTTCGACCTCATAGAGTAATTTTGAACGTTAATAGATCTCTTCATCATGGGGTTAACCCCACAGTACCAAAAAAACCCACACTGCTGGAAAATACGTTCATTTTACCCCACAATGTACCTCTCGTAAGAACAGACGGACAGACAGACGGACAGACGGATCAAAAAAAAAAGTTTTCACTTATTTTCATTCAAAAAAAAAAAAAAAGAAATTCAATTAGTATGTAATATCTTTCTTTACAAAATGATAACTTTTGATCTATGACATCTTATCAATTACTTATTTTAAATTATATTCTTTAAATTTACAAATGTTTTTCCCATTTTCCAAAATTATTCAGTTTATTCTGCAATTTAAAAAAGAACTTCAATAATTTTAACATAAGATTCTCCTTGATTGATGCACACTTAAATATTTTTCTAATTTTTCTGAATAGAAAATCCCTCTTACCCACTGGCAAAACTGGGTCGATGTTTGTTTTACTGACTGTAAAATATAAATTTGAAAGTCAAAAGACTGCTGTGCAAAAATGCACAATAAAATCGAGATATACGACATTTAATTCATCATCAAAATATCTTTAAAAAAATGGTTTGTTATCTCCCAGAACTGAACATATATGATAAATTTTGATATACGTACTATCTACATGGCTATCTCTTCTACCTGTCAAAACAGTAAAAAAAAAAAAAACATTTCATGAAGTTATTTCAAAACTCAGGGATATATTGATGATATATTAAAAGATTGAATTATCATGAAAAGAAGCCTTTTGAGTATTTAAAGGAATTTGATTTTGTATTGAAATCGGAATTATCATGGGGTTCTAAAATCTTTTAGTGTGATTAATTAACATTATAATCATTCTTTGCTTGTTTTAAAATGAATATCACCATTGGAGAAGATATCACGAGAGAAAGAGCCGGTCGGTACTTCGGATTAAAAAACTATTTAAATTTTAGATATTTAATCAATCACAATTATATGCTTTCATGAAGTATCTAGAATAAGACAATTTGTTGAACAATTATATATTTTTTTTCAATTGTATATTTTTTATATTAAGAATGCATCTAGGTGTTTTTTTCTTTTGTCAGAAACTAATTAGTCAAAAGTATTTATTCTGTCCCAAGTCCTACAGAAAACTGCATTTTCCTCTTTGTTATTTTATACATATATCTTTATTGAAAATCGATATTTAATTAATATTTTCACATTTATCAAAATTGAAAAAGTTGAAAACGCATCATTTTCTTCATTATGTGCTAATAATTATTCAGGTGAAATTAAGGGAGAAAGGTTTTTCATCATTGATAACATCATAATGAATCTACCATCATTTGAATTTCTACAGTAAGAACCTTAGCTCATAATCCTCTCGTATTTTATAAGATTTTAATACCTCGTATACTAACATTCTCCAAAATCAAAAAAAAAAAAGTGTTCCATTATTTTCATTCAAAAAAGTAAGAAATTCAATTAGTATGTAATATCTTTCTTTACAAATTGATATCTTTTGATCTATGACATCTTATCAATTACTTATTTTAAATTATATTCTTTAAATTTACAATTGTTATTCCCATTTTCCAAAATTATTCAGTTTATTCTGCAATTTAAAAAAGAACTTCAATAATTTTAACATAAGATTCTCCTTGATTGATGCACACTTAAATATTTTTCTAATTTTTCTGAATAGAAAATCCCTCTTACCCACTGGCAAAACTGGGTCAATGTTCGTTTTACTGACTGTAAAATATAAATTTGAAAGTCAAAAGACTGCTGTGCAAAAATGCACAATATAATCGAGATATACGACATTTAATTCATCATCAAAATATCTTTATAATAAAAAAAATGGTTTGTTACCTCCCAGAACTGAACATATATGATAAATTTTGATATACGTACTATCTACATGGCTATCTCTTCTACCTGTCAAAACAGTAAAAAAACATTTCATGAAGTTATTTCAAAACTCAGGGATATATTGATGATATATTAAAAGATTGAATTATCATGAAAAGAAGCCTTTTGAGTATTTAAAGGAATTTGATTTTGTATTGAAATCGGAATTATCATGGGGTTCTAAAATCTTTTAATGTGAGCAATGCCCATTATAATCATTCTTTGCTTGTTTTAAAATGAATATCACCATTGGAGAAAATATCATGAGAGAAAGAGCTGATCGGTACTTCGGATTAAAAAACTATTTAAATTTTAGATATTTAATCAATCACAATTATATGCACGCATGAAGTCTCTAGAATGAGACAATTTGTTGAACAATTATATTTCATTTTTTGAATTGTATATTTTTTATATTAGGAATGCATCGAGGTGTTTTTTTTTTTTTTTTGTCAGAAACTTATTAGTCAAAAGTATTTATTCTGTCCCCAGTCCAACAGAAAATTGCATTTGTTCTCTTTATTATTTTATACACATATCTTTATTGAAAATCGGTATTTAATTAATTTTTTCACATTTTTTTAAATTGAAAAAGTTGAAAACGCATCATTTTCTTCATTATGTGCTAATAATTATTCAGGTAAAATTTAGGGAGAAATAAGTTTTTCATCAATGATAACATCATAATGAATCTACCATCATTTGAATTTCTACACTAAGAACCTAAGCTCATAATCCTCTCGTATTTTATAAGTTTTTAATACCTCGTATACTAACATTCTCCAAAATGAAAAAAAAAGTTTTCCATTATTTTCATTCAAAAAAAGTAAGAAATTCAATTAGTATGTAATATCTTTCTTTACAAATTGATATCTTTTGATCTTTGACATCTTATCAATTACTTATTTTAAATTATATACTTTTAATTTACAAAAGTTATTCCCATTTTCCAAAATTATTCAGTTTATTCTGCAATTTAAAAAAGAACTTCAATAATTTTAACATAAGACTCTCCTTGATTGATGCACACTTAAATATTTTTCTAATTTTTCTGAATAGAAAATCCCTCTTACCCACTGGCAAAACTGGGTCAATGTTCGTTTTACTGACTGTAAAATATAAATTTGAAAGTCAAAAGACTGCTGTGCAAAAATGCAAAATATAATCGAGATATACGACATTTAATTCATCATCAAAATATCTTAAAATAAAAAAAATGGTTTGTTATCTCCCAGAACTGAACATATATGATAAATTTTGATATACGTACTATCTACATGGCTATCTCTTCTACCTGTCAAAACAGTAAAAAAACATTTCATGAAGTTATTTCAAAACTCAGGGATATATTGATGATATATTAAAAGATTGAATTATCATGAAAAGAAGCCTTTTGAGTATTTAAAGGAATTTGATTTTGTATTGAAATCGGAATTATCATGGGGTTCTAAAATCTTTTAATGTGAGCAATGCCCATTATAATCATTCTTTGCTTGTTTTAAAATGAATATCACCATTGGAGAAAATATCATGAGAGAAAGAGCTGATCGGTACTTCGGATTACAAAACTATTTAAATTTTAGATATTTAATCAATCACAATTATATGCACGCATGAAGTCTCTAGAATGAGACAATTTGTTGAACAATTATATTTCATTTTTTGAATTGTATATTTTTTATATTAGGAATGCATCTAGGTGTTTTTTTTTTTGTCAGAAACTTATTAGTCAAAAGTATTTATTCTGTTCCCAGTCCTACAGAAAACTGCATTTGTTCTCTTTCTTATTTTATACACATATCTTTATTGAAAATCGGTATTTAATTAATTTTTTCACATTTTTTTAAATTGAAAAAGTTGAAAACGCATCATTTTCTTCATTATGTGCTAATAATTATTCAGGTAAAATTTAGGGAGAAATAAGTTTTTCATCAATGATAACATCATAATGAATCTACCATCATTTGAATTTCTACACTAAGAACCTAAGCTCATAATCCTCTCTTATTTTATAAGTTTTTAATACCTCGTATACTAACATTCTGGAAAATCAAAAAAAAAAAGTTTTCCATTATTTTCATTCAAAAAAAGTAAGAAATTCAATTAGTATGTAATATCTTTCTTTACAAATTGATATCTTTTGATCTTTGACATCTTATCAATTACTTATTTTAAATTATATACTTTTAATTTACAAAAGTTATTCCCATTTTCCAAAATTATTCAGTTTATTCTGCAATTTAAAAAAGAACTTCAATAATTTTAACATAAGACTCTCCTTGATTGATGCACACTTAAATATTTTTCTAATTTTTCTGAATAGAAAATCCCTCTTACCCACTGGCAAAACTGGGTCAATGTTCGTTTTACTGACTGTAAAATATAAATTTGAAAGTCAAAAGACTGCTGTGCAAAAATGCAAAATATAATCGAGATATACGACATTTAATTCATCATCAAAATATCTTAAAATAAAAAAAATGGTTTGTTATCTCCCAGAACTGAACATATATGATAAATTTTGATATACGTACTATCTACATGGCTATCTCTTCTACCTGTCAAAACAGTAAAAAAACATTTCATGAAGTTATTTCAAAACTCAGGGATATATTGATGATATATTAAAAGATTGAATTATCATGAAAAGAAGCCTTTTGAGTATTTAAAGGAATTTGATTTTGTATTGAAATCGGAATTATCATGGGGTTCTAAAATCTTTTAATGTGAGCAATGCCCATTATAATCATTCTTTGCTTGTTTTAAAATGAATATCACCATTGGAGAAAATATCATGAGAGAAAGAGCTGATCGGTACTTCGGATTAAAAAACTATTTAAATTTTAGATATTTAATCAATCACAATTATATGCACGCATGAAGTCTCTAGAATGAGACAATTTGTTGAACAATTATATT